TCACCGGGCAGGGTAGAAAGCGTAGACTCAGAGATAAAGTCATTAGCGTATATGGTAATAGGTGGACTCCTAATGTTGTGTTATGGACCACAAAATAATACAATGTATAGTAAATACAATGAATAGTGTTGTGGGGAGAGCAGTTCAGTAAGAGCAGGAGACCTAAGTAAGCAGGTGGCCAGCAGTGGGCCCAGAAACTGCTGCCATTCCTATTAAAGTAGAATAGACAGAGATCATTGTCTTTCTGAAAAATGCTGCTTCAAACCATCTATTAAAAAGCCATTCTGCAGTATTTAGCAAAGAGTGAAAGTTATATATAAAATTATCTTGGGCCATAAATAGAAAATATTTTATGAAAGCATCATACAAATTGACAACCATAGGACCCTAGTGGTCACAATACACACAATATATGCAAACACCAGGCAACCCACTGAAGTGGAAATAACCCTGTTAACTGTGGTCAGATGTGCACTCAAAGAAATGCCAGTTAGACTCGGTGAGGTTCCTGGCTCACATAGCCATGATTTTCAGTAAGTACCGAAGCTGGGTAGAAGCTAATGCTGGCATGCTTGGTGGCATTATCTGTCCTCAGCTGTTTTAGAAAACCACTTAGTGTTATAAATTAAGCCATAAAAACAATCTGACCTTTTGGTCTAGTCATTTTATTTTAAAGAGCTTTTCTAAGGAGGTTTAAAGTTGGTTATAAAACTCTATATATGTGATGATTTCTTAGAACAATGTAAGTACTTAAACCCCAGCAGAGGTTGGCTATGTAAAGTATAGGAATAACACTTCATAGGCGATTATGCACCCATTAAACAGCAAATACTACTATGCTGCAAGTTGAAAAAAATCTATATTAAAACAGATTTAAATGTTTTGAATTGAAGTATTGACTATATAACCAGAGTTCACAGAGTGAAAATCAAGGTACTCCTTAATTCAGGAATTAAAGGATCTTCTCAGAACTTGTCTCAGTTCTGCTCTCCTGCTGATTTCTCCTGAAAAGGCTTCCTCCTCCTGCTGCCAAAGGGAGCTCCACGGTTCCAGACTTTCTAAGGAGCCTGGAGCTCATCTCTGCCTTTCTCTTCTGGTTCTGGGCGGTCCCAGGCAGCTGTGATCGGCTGGCCAGCCCTGGGCACCTGCCTGCCCTAGAACCCAGGTGTAGGGGAGGGGAAGTTTCAGGTGTTTGTTTCTTTGTTACTTGAGATAATTTTGATTTTTGTTCAGCATGTTGTTATTTCTTTTATTCCAGCATTCCTGATTTTTTGTATTTGGAGCTATCGCAACACTTCTTCCTTTGGGACATGGGTGTGTGTGTGTGTGTGTGTGTGTGTGTGTGTATAAGCCTTTTTCTTCTTTGATTCAAGTACCTATTTCTCAGGCTTTCCATTGAAAATTTTAAACTAAATTTTATCACACCATAGGCATTGATACAATAGTATGGCTACTTCTGCAAATATTTGCTCTTATCTTTTTATTTGAATGCAATATATTTATTTATTTTTATTTTTTTCATATTTCTTCATTTTTAATTTTTATTTTTTAAAAATATTTTTTAAATTAAATTATTATCTGTCAATGAAAAAGAAATACCACATGACCTCACTCATTTATAGATATTAAAGAATATTATAAACTGATGAACCAAAAGTCAGATATAAAGACAATAAAGCAACAAGCAGACTGTCAAATTACAGCCGGGAAGGTAGGGAGATCTGGGGGAGATAAGAGCTCAACCGAAGGACTTGTATACATGCATATAAGTACAACCAATGGACACAAAACTCTGAGGAGAGAGGGTATGTATGGGAGGGGGGGCAATGTTAAAATATGTGCACAGATAATTGAATGCAATATATTTAATTTAATTTATTTTTTGGTAGGAAGTAGTCTTGAATTCTATCAGAAGCCTGAGGTTCGAGGCTGCTGTGATAGTCTCAGCCTCTCACTTTGTGTACAACTGAATTCATTTATTTCTCCAAGTAGCTTACGTTGTCTTATTTTTAAAATATGGGGAAACCTTTTCCATAACTTTTATTGTTTTTTTACATTAAAATGTTGAATAGCATAGTTTCTACAAAAGCAATTTAATAAACTGATATGCAGTGAAGGAACATTTTTTAAGAACAAGGCATTGGTTCAGTTATTTCGGTTTTTAGTGTTGGCAATAGTATCAAAATGGGTGGCTCAGATGCCTGTAAACCAGGATGTCCCAAATTATGTTTTTTACAAGATGCCAGCTGTAGTATTACTTGGAGGGGAAAAGGGTTCTAGGTATAAATTTGTGAAATGATGTGTTAGACATTATTCATTACTAGACTGAATAGTTCTTAACATATCAATGAGCATTTTGATCTCTAAGAATCAGGGATATCCTTTATTTATATATGACCTTCCAAATGCCCTTTTAACAAAAAGAAATATTATTATGTAATTTGGGAAATAGGACCATAACCATTACTCTCTCAGGATCTTGGTCCACTTTCTTACAAGATTGGTTAAGTGGTTTCATATCGTCATTACTAGAGAATATCATAGGGTTGTTTTATTTTTTATGTAATCACTTTATTATATCACATAGTGACAAACTTTGTGTTATTAAAATTCATATATCTGTTTTGTATACTTGCTTAAATAGAAGATTATCCCACCTTGGCTCAAGATGGACTGCAGACAGGCCTACCCTTACATAATTATAGCAAGTTTCATTTTTATAAGCAGCCCTATGATCAAGTCCAGAAAGTATTTTTATTGGAGCCCCCAATTAAACGTGTGACCAGGAAGGAAGAAGTGAGACTTTAACTTTGGAAATTGAGGGCAGAACTTAAAAACCACTTTGATGACAGAATAAAAAGTCACTATTATGACAGTGTTTCTGTAGGTTAGAGCCTTGAGCTGTTATACTATCCTTTTAAATGTGCCATGATATAGAGCCCTAAGCAAGCCACAGCTAAGAAAGTAAGTTCATGTTTTGAATGGAGTTACTATTAGCCTAATGAATAAAGAACATTTGCCAAAATCAGCTCATGTGATTTGGGCATATTTGATATTTTAGCAGGTATCTGACACTAATTGGCTACAATGTAACTTGCTTCTTGACACTGTTTTTGGAATGTGCTGGTAGTCCTACCTAATAATCATATCTAATAAAGAAGGAATATGCTAATTGACTGGCATGCCCTGAAAGATGGCAGCACCCACAGCCATAAGATGGTGGCGCAGGCAAGCCTTGGATGGTAGCTGCCCAGCCACCCAGGGCTTCCAGAGGCTCAGGTATCCAGGGCCAGACAAGGCTTGTGCTGTCAGCAGTGACAGCAACAGAGGTGTGATGGGGACATTGCCTTCCCCTGATTGCCAGGTCACCTCCTGCCCCTGAGGGCTCCAAGACTATGAGAGGGGACAGGCCGGGCTGAGGGAACCCCATCAGTGCATGAATTTTCATGCACTGAGCCTCAGGTCTATATATATAGAAAGCTAATATGCTAAGTGTCCTTCCCTCCACCTGGGTAATGACATCATGTAGCAATGCACAGCTTCCTCTCCCTAGGGACGACTAGCCTCCTTGCAATTTCTTCAGCCCAGGAAATCAACTTGCTTTATAGCCAGGTGGAAACACTTTACACTGTAACTAAATGTCTGTGAAACATTGTCCCATGCTTCATCTCATTTGATCCTCACAGAAGTCCCGGAGTAGGTAAATAGGAGACTCAGTGGAATCCTATTTTCTTTTCATTAGCCAGAAAATGGAGATTTAGAAAGCTTAGAAATTTGGCCTGACTGAAAAGAAGTAAGAATTGGTGGTCCTTGAAAATGACTTCAGGCTTTCTCGCTGCACAGAATATAGTCAAACACTGCTACAGCTAAATATTTTACCCTTTGTTCTCCCTGCATGATCTACAATAATAATCTGCTTCATGTTGATATTTACTGCTGTGTTGCTGACAATTACCTGAAAGAGAAGTTGGGATGCTTCACTGGGATGGAAAAGTTTAGCTAACTCAGAAAGCAGGTCTAATTAAGCAAGTTTGTTCTATATCTATAAAAGGCTAAGTTGACTCACTCATGCGTGATACATACGAAGCTCTCGCTAGCACCATTTGCACATGTAGTTTCTATCTGTCATTGTTGATCATGAATTTGGTTGACACTTCTATTATAGAGAAAGGGCGAATAGCAATATTAAAATATTTCTTCTAATTACTTTCCTTTCAATGTGCACCAATTCATGCACTGGGCCACTAGTCTCAGCATAAATGAGAGTGACCGTGTTGCTAATTGACAGGTAAAAGTGGGGTAGCATGTACACAATTCATAGACTACTTAGGTGCAAGTTAAAAAATGTCAGGTATAGCCTGTATTTATTCCACATGCTTAGAAAGATTTTACAATTTTGAATTTTCCCAGTAGAATTTTTATATTGTTGCTGTGAGAAATGACTCATCTGTCCAAATTCAAATGACTGACTCGGAGACAGAAGTATGGCGAAAAGGAGACACTTAATCATTTGTCTCCAGAACTGGTGTCCTTTGTCACAGGAACACCTGACGCGGGGAGCACAGCCTATTTATTTAGTCCCTCCTCCGGTTCCTCTTTGGCTGAGCTCTATGGGGTCACCTGTTTCCTCATAGGTCGCCTAGGTCTCGCTGTCTCCCATTGGGCCTTTTACAATATTGGGCTGAGGCCTTTCTAGCTGCCTGCTCCTCCCCTGTCTCACTGAGGCAGATGCCTCAGGGCTTTCCACCAGGAAGCTTGCCCAGGTGCACAGTTCTTTGTTCCTCTTCCCTCCTCACTACTTTCTGTCTGTCCTGGGAAATTCAGTAAATCCCATCAAAAGCCGGCCAAGTGGAGGTGGATCACAAAGGTTCATTTCCTACATCACCTTGACTAAAATTGGCTTGTTACCATTACTTAAATACTCTTTCCAACACCATTATAAGAGTATAAATTAGTGTGCAGCAATTTTTTAATTATTTACTTTTCTATTTGGGCTTTAGGTTTAATTCCTTCTGACCATCCAAATGCAGGCACAATTTTTCTAAAGAAATCTCAAATGGACGGTAAGTCAAGATCATTATTTAAGTCACAGTTAGGTTTTTATTTGAACAATTAAAAGAATCAGTTGTTTATATATCAGGATTGAATTTGTGATCTTACATAGTGCTCAAGCAAAGGATGCTATCTCACAATAGAATTTTAAACTTTCAAACTCTCTCGCCCTATGTAATGCTGCCAGGCTACACCAGAGGAAGCTTAGCAGGAGCATGTGCAACTATGTCAATTTCCTGTGTCCTGTTTGTTTTAGGATAAGAACCAAGAACTGTAGGATTTTAATGCTTCTACTTGCCTTAACGTTATGTTCAATCGAGTTTACTTGCTTTAAAAGGCACACAGCTTGAGTCTTTCAATTGATTGTGACAGCAGAAGTCCAGGCAGGGAAGGGTCCATTTTATTTCAATCCATGCAGCTCAATAAAAAGTGGGGGTTTTTACATGCCTTTTCATGGCATGTGTGCATGACTTCTGGAGCTGGTCATTTTGGTTAGGATTGCTGTATTTCTCAGTTTCTTCCAGGGCCATGTTGCTCTCCTGTGGAGAGAGGGTGGGAGAGTAAAGGAAGTGCTGTCCCCTGCTCCTCTCCGCAGTGCTAAGGAGGGTGTGCCTATGGCGCCCTCCCACGTTACAGGAGGCAGAGTGGGAGACAGGGCACAGCCAGGACCCTCTTTGGAGCTTTTCTTTTTTCAGATCTTTATCAGAGCAGAAATACTTTGTGTGTTATACACTTGTTCAGTTAGGTTAGCCACACATTTTAAAATTTAAATTGATTAAGTCACTTTGCAATTGAGTAGAGACACATTTAACGATTTAGTGAGATGTTCTAGGTGGTTATGTGAGTGGTTCAGGATGCTGGCCTGGCCAGAAACTGGTTCTTAGAGCTCCCAACTGTTAGTCCTGGTGGTTCAAGAAAAGCGGGATTACATGTGAATTGGAAACTGAGACCGAGGAGTGGCTCAGAAGCACAACAGATACACTGTTTCTCCCCGGCCTAATTTACTTTGCCCTTTTCTTCTGGAGGAGAGATTTTTATTTGTACCTAGAATAGAACATCTGTTAGGTCAAAAAGGCAAATCTTAGTTTTCAGATTTTGCTTATGGGACTCCTCTTGCCAGGTGCTTTAAATTATAAAATTTGTTGGAAGTTACAAAGGAAATGGAATAAATGTTGGTCTTATTTTGTATGTTGGTAATCTTTCAGATAATCAGTAACTTCTTTTTTTCTGTGGCATTTCTATCTAATCAGTTAATTTTATTTTATTCTCAGTGCGAGGAAAGAGGAAGAGCAGCAATTCCACTCATGTAAGTAAATAGTTGAAAAGTTACATAATAAATTAGTAATTTGAATTAAAAATTGTCTGCTATGATTGTTATCAATATATAATGGAACCAATATCATTAGCTTGGTAGATTTTCTATATCACTTCCGTTATCTTCGTGATCAAGCTTCCATAATTAGGAAAGTTTTTGCCTTTAATAATGTTCATTTTTAGGGGTTCTGACCTTTAATTAATGTCAATAACATGGTTGTGGTATAAATATCTGTCTTAATTTTTGCCTTTACTTTTAACTTTGATTTTTCACAAAATGAACAACAATATAAAGCTGTCAATTTTTAGGGTTATATCTAAGCTCACTATCTTTCTCCCTCCAGTGTTGCCTTTTTCCCTCCCTCTGTCCTCAAAACATGCATCATGGTTTTTATTAAATCAAAATCAATGTTTACATTATTATGACTTTGTAAATATTTTTAATGCTGAGCCATATATTTCTTTGGCTGTGCCTCTTTCTTGTATACCCTTTATTCTTTTGCTCAACAAATGTATATGCACTTTGAATAATTATGCCAGTGTTTATTAATATACAGTTCAGTTTCAAAATTTGAATGAATCTGCAGAAATGAATAATATTTTTTTTTTGTCAATGCCTGTTTTCAAACCGATGACCGGTCTGGTCCAGGCACTGCTGATAAAACAAAGCAATAAAATTATAAGGATTGGTCAATAATTATTTTATTCCATATTTGTGTGTCCTCAATTTGTGGACTGTTGCCTGTTTTGTGCTGTAAACTTGACCTTTTATGTCTTTCCATAAAAAAAAAATCTAGTAAGACTTCAGGATAAGTTTTCCTTGTTCAGAGCTTAATTTGGCTTTGCCCACTATTTCAAATCAGTTAAACCTGAAAAGGTGTGAAATTAGAGTTATCAGCTGTTCAAATGTGTATACTTTTTTTGGGACCCACTATATTACTGAGATTTGATCACAGCTACACTTCTCCAAGACAATCCAAACCCCTGTTCCTCGTCAACATGATCTCATGGAGCCAAATGCAGCAAATAGGCTGGTCCCTCTGATTTCACAAATAACTGTTTTGTACCTAGTAATCTAATAACTTGGCAGATAATGATGACTATTGGGACAAGAATTCTATATTTATGCTACATTAACATAATTCCTAGTAAGTTTTCATTTTGTGTGTGTGTGGAATTAATTTTTTACTGTATTCACTTCTTTTCTAACAGCTACTTTTTTCCTGAAAATGCTGACATTTGTCACAGGCCTGTCAAAAATATTTTCCATGCACTGAATACATTTGTTCCACTTCTTATTGGAAGCCATCTCCCCAGCCCTTTGTTATTCTCCTCCAGTACAGAGTTGTTCTCCAAAGCCTGCTCTGTGCCTGCTTTAGGCATATTTCTTTAAAATCATCTGGGATCTCACATACTGTTCTCTCATGTTACATCCCCAATGTTTTAGATCAGCAATTTTCAACCTTTTGTGTCTCATGGTGCACATACACTAATTACAATTCCTAGGCACATCAAAATTATTTTTCGTTCATCTAACAAAGAAGTACGTATCATATTTATTCCTTCACTCTGAATATCTGTTGTGGCTGTTGTCATTTTGTTATTTGACAATGAAAGGGAAATGGCCAGTGCCCCTGCCCAAATAGTCAGGTATTGCATGTTATTATTGAAGCATTTAAACCATTTACACTTAATGCTATTATTGATAAGTACTTGTTAGTTATCATTTTTATTCTTTTAAAAAATTTTATTTTATTGTTTAAAGTATCACAAATAGTAGTACTATGTCTCCTTTTATTGACCTTCCCCAACCCTCCCCTACACCCTGTCACATGCCCTCATCCCCCCCCCCCTGCCCCAGTGTCTTTTGTCCATTGGTTATGCTTATATGCATGCACAGAAGTCCTTTAGTTGATCTCTTACCTCCTCCCCCCTTCAACTCTACCCAGGTTTCCCGCTGTAATTTGACAATCTGTTCCATGCTGCTCTGCCTTTGTATCTATCTTTTTGTTCATCAGGTTGTAAGGTTCTTTATTATCCATAAATGAGTGAGATCATGTGGTATTTTTCTTTCACTGACTGGCTTATTTTACTGACTGGCTTAGCATAATGCTCTCCAGTTTCATCCAAGTTGCTGCAAATGGTAAGAATTCTTTCTTCTTTATAGCAGCGTAGTATTTCGTTGTGTAGATGTATCACAGTTTTCTAATCTACTTTCTGCTGATGGGCATTTAGGCTATTTCCAAATCTTAGCTATTGTAATTGTGCTGCTATGAACATAGTGGTGCATATATCCTTTCTGATTGGTGTTTCTGTTTTCTTGGGATATATTTCTATAAGTGGTATTACTGGGTCAAGTGGGAGGTTTATTTTTAAATTTTCCAGGAAACCCTAAACTCTTTTCCACAGTGGCTGCACCAACCTGCATTCACACCAGCAGTGAATGAGGGTTCTTTTTTCTCTGCATCCTCTTGTAATTCCTTGATTTGTTGATGATAGCCATTCTGACAGGTGAGAGATGGTACCTCACTGTTGTTTTGATTTGCTTCTCTCTGATTAGTGACTTTTAGCATGTTTTAATTTGTCTCTTGGCTTTCTGAATGTCCTCTTTTGAAAAGATTCTATTGAGGTGCTTTGCCATTTTTTTTATTGGATTGCTTACCTTCCTTTTGTTAAGTTGTATGAGTTCCCTGTAAATGCTGGAGGTGAAAGCCTTATTAGAGATAACATTGGCAAATATTTCTCCCATGCAGTGGACTTCCTTGTTTTGTTGACGGTTTTCTTTTACTGTGCAGCAGTTTTTTATATTGACGTAGTCCCATTTGTTTATTTTTTCCTTAGTCTCTCTTGCCCGAGTATCTGTGTCTGTAAAGATGTTGCTGTGACATAAGTCTGCAATTTTTCTGCCTATGGAGTCATGTAGGATTTTTATAGTTTCCTGTTTTACATTCAAGTCCTCTAGTCATTTTGAGTTTGTTTTGGTGTATGGTGTAAGTTGGTGATCTAGTTTTATTATTATTTTTTTTGCATGTATCTGACCAAATTTCCCAGCACTATTTATTAAAGAGACAGTTTTGACTGTTCTGCTCTTGCCTCCTTTGTCAAATATTAATTGAGTATAATGGCTTGGGTCAATTTCTGGGTTCTCTATTTTGTTCCATTGGTCTATATGTCTGTTCTTGTGCCAGTACCAGGCAGTTTTGAGAAGTGTGGCTTCATAATAAAGCTAGATATCTGTATTGGGATTCCTCCAACTTTGTTCTTCTTTCTCAGCATAGCTGTGGCTATTTGGGGTCTTTTTTTTTTCCAGATGAATTTTTGAAGAGTTTGTTCCATATTTTTGAAATATGCCATTGGAATTTTAATAGAGATTGCATTTAATCTATAGATTGCTTTTTGTAGTATGAACATTTTAATGATGTTGATTCTACCAACCCATGAACATAGTATGTCCTTCCATTTGTTTATATCTTCCTTTATCTCTGTTTTCAATGTCCTGTTGTTTTCTCAGCACAGAGGTTTTACATCCTTAGTTGCCTTTGTTCCTAGGTATCTTAATTGTTTTGTGTAATGGTAAATGGGGTTGTTTTACTCATTTCTCTTCCTGTGAGTTCATTATTGGCATATAAAAAGGCCATAGATTTCTGGGTGTTAATTTGTATCCTGCTACATTGCCAAATTGATTTATTAGGTCTAGTAGTTTTTTGATGGAGTCTTTGGGATTTTCTATGTATAGTATCATGTAATCTGCAGATAAGGGCAGTTTTCTTTTTCCCAATTTGGATTCCTTTTAATATCTTCTTCTTGTCTAATTGCAATGGCTAATACTTCCAGTACTATGTCAAACAGGAGTGGTGAGAGTGGGAATTGTGTTTTGTTCCTGTTCTTAGGAGAAATGGTTTTAATTTTTGCCCATTGAGTATGATGTAGGCTGTAGGTTTGTCATATAGAGCTTTTATTATGTTGAAGTATGATCTCTCTGTTCCCACCTTGCTGAGAGTTTTTATCAAGAAAGGGTGTTGGATTTATCAATTGATATGATAATGTATTTTTGTCTCTCATTTTGTTCATGTGATGTATCACTTTTATTGCTTTGTGGATATTGTATCATCCTTGCATCCCCGGAATAAAACCCACTCGGACATAGTGTATGATCTTCCTAAGGTATTGCTGAATCTGATTTGCTAGAATTTTATTGAGGATGTTAGCATCTATGTTCATCAAGGATATTGGCCTGTAGTTCTCTCTCTCTCTCTTTTTTTTTTGTGGTGTCTTTACCTGGTTTTGGAATTAGGGTAATGCTGGCTTCATAGAAAGAGGTTAGAAGAGTGCCTTCCGATTGAATTTTTTTGGAATAGTCTGAGGAGAACAGGTTTTAGTTCTTCTTCAAACATTTGATAGAACTCCTCTGTAAAAGCACCCAGACCATGGATTTTTGTTTGCTGGAAGATTTTTGATCGCTGTTTCAATTTCTTCAGTAGTTATCAGCCTATTCTGGTTCTTTTATTCTTCTTGGCTGAGTTTTGGAGCTTGTATTTTTCTAAGAATAAGTCCATTTCATCTAGGTTGTCCATTTTGTTAGAATAGAGTTGTTCATAGTATTTTTTCATAATTGTTTGAATTTCTGTGGGATGGGTTGTTACATTACCTCTTTCATTTTGGATTTTATTTATTTGGCTCTTCTTTCTTTGCTTCTTGATGAACCTCTATCCTGGCTAGAGGTTCATCAATCTTGTTTATCCTCTCAAATAACCAGCTGTTGGTTTTGTTGATCTTTTGTATTGTTTCTTTGGTCTCTATGTCATTTATCTCCACTCTGATCTTTATTATTTCCTTCCTTCTGCTTACATTGGACTTTTCTTGTTGCTCTCTTTGTAACTTTGAGTTGTAGGGTTAGGTAATTTATTTCCGTTGTTTCTTGTTTTTTTGAGGTAGGCCTGTTGAGCTATGAACTTCCCTCTCAAGACTGCTTCCACTGTGTCACATAGATGT